GAGTGCTTCGGATCAGCGTGGAATCGCTCTAGGGGCAAGTCTCCGCGCCGCTGGATGCAGAAGATGGAACCGCTAGAGAAGCAGTCATGCTACAATAAATAATTCCTGCCGCTTCCAATCACTAGGTCTTTGGGACTTCTGTACTTTTAATTCTCATCACTACTACTACAAATAACCCTATTCATCATTGCACTAGAAGATAATGAAAGGGATTATTACCTGGGTTCTGATGAAACTGGCCTAGAGATGGGAAACCTTAGAAAACAGTGAATTAAAAAAAAAAAAAGAAAAGCAACTTCTGGCCTCCTCCAGAGAATCTTTTTTGTGTATTATTTATTATAGAAAACGTGAAAAAAAGAGTATGTTATATTGTGATTTGTAGGATAATTACATGCTTGTATATTGCTGCTCAGGATTCAATGTCCCAGAATTTGCTTTTAAAAGTGAACTCTTGGGACCAGCAAGTGGCTTGGTGGTTAAGGTGCTGGACACTCCCACATGGGTGACCACGGTTCGAGTCCCAGACCTGGCAGGTTGCTTTCTCACTCTTTCTCTCTCTCTGTCCTGCCTGGTCAAATGAAAATAAATGAATAAATAAATAAAATTAAATAAATAATTATAATTAAAAAAATGAACTCTAACACTGGATTATTTTACATTCTTCCGAAAATAAACTGATAATCAGCATTTACAAAAGGTGAATTTTGGACGCTAGAGGGCACTAGTATTTTAGATAAGAAAAGCAAAAGCATGCAAGTTGTCAACTTGGTTTCTGAGGTGGATTAAGGGATATTAGCAGCCAGCTCCAATTACAGCATTTCTGGAGAAATGATTAGACATGTATGACAGCTTGTATTTTCAGCTTGAATTTCATGCCAGAGGATAACGTCACCCCAGACTGTAAATTGTATTCAACATTATGTCAGGTTCACAATATTACCCTTGCTCTCTACTAGAAATAAGCCTTCATACATATTCTTGTTCCAGAAAAAATTTAGAGCAGACTTCATGATACATATAACATAGCACACACACACACAAATGATTATGTGGGGCCGAGTGCTAGCGCAGTGGTAAAGCACTACACTCTGAAGCTGGGAAGGTTCATGGTTCAAGTCTGGAGACTTCGCAGCTAGTGCTTGCTTACCCACCCATGATCTGGGGTGAATCATCATGCCAATACCCTGCTGGGGGTGTTGTCTTTCTGTCTCTATGTGTGTCTCACCCACGCAAGAAATAAATAACCTTTTTTAGAATTATTTATTTAATTTTATTCATGATTATTATTTTTATTTTTCAATTTACCAGAGAGAGAGAAGGAAAGTGAGAAAGCAAGCTGCCAGGTTCAGGACTAGAACCACGGTGTATCATGTGGGAGTCCAGAGCATTAACCACCATGCCACTGCTGGCTCTAAATAAATAACTTTTAAAAATGCATTGACTAAGGGGACCAACAGATAACATAATGGTTATGTGACTAGACTCCCACATAGTCAACTGCAGTTTGAGTCCCAGTCTCAGTGGCTTGAAATGCACACCAGGTAGGTGCATTTGTGCCCAAAATCCTGAGAGGAGAATGGAGGAAAAGGGATTGAAGCATGGCTATCTCCCCTGGGGGGTGATTTCTCACTTTCTGTCGCTTTATCTCTCTGACAAGCACATGTGCCCTATAGCAAAAAGCTCTCTAAAATGAATAAATAAATAAATAATTTTTAAAAATGCATTGACTAGGGGTCAGCATGTGGCATGGTGTTTAAAGTGCTTGACTCCCACACAGCCGCCTGCAGCTCAAGTCCTGGATCTGGTGGCTTGAAAATGGTGCCAAGGGGACCAGCAGGACTCCCATGTAGTCGACCGCGGTTCGAGTCCCGGACGCCGCAATCCTTTCTCCTCCATTCTCCTCTCGGGATCTTGGGCATGCATGCACACGCGCCAGGTGTGAGTTTTAAGCCACTGGGTCCGGGACGTGAACCGCGGTTGACTATATGGGAGTCCAGCGACATAGCCATTATGCTAACAGCTGGTCCTAGGTAGCATGGTAGTTAAGGTGGCTGGATCCCACATAGCTGGCTGTGCTTCAAGTCCTGGACCTAGAGGCTTGGAAAATCAGCCAGGTATGTGTGTGTGTGTGTGTCCCAAATCCTGATCAGGGAATGGAGGAGAAGGGATTCTGGAATGGCCATTCCTCCTAGGCAGGGATTTCTTGCTGTCTCTCTCTTTCTTTCCCTTTTTCTGCAATAACTGCACATGCCTGGTGGCAAATTAAAAAAAAAAAAAAAGAAAAGAATGAACAGAGCTTGATAATTGATTGTCCATGGAGATTTTGAGGGAGAACAGTGAAGGTAACTTTTGGATTTGGAGTTTGGGTTACGAGGTACCCTTCAACAAGGAAGGTGTAGAGTCCCAGATTTGATGGTACACCTAGTGAGTGAAGCTTAAGGTTTATTTAATTTGACATGGCCGTGAGATAGCAGCACAGAGATGTCCATGTTAGCCACATGTATCTGGAGTCCAGGACAGGCATTTACGCCAAAGAGAGAAATTTGGGCATCTTTAGCATGTATTTAGTTGACAACATAAAGTATATGAGGTCGGGGCGGGCAGGTGGTGTGGTGGTTGGGGCAGCTGGACTCCCACATGGCTGACCGGAGTTCGAGTCCCAAACCTGGCGGCTTACTTTCTCACTTTCCTTTTCTCTCTCTCTCTCTCTGGTCAACTTCAAATAATAATAATGACAATGATAAAATTAAATAATTCTTTTTTTAAAAAGTGTATGAGGTCATCTAAAGAGGTACAGAGCCAGATGTCTGGATGATGGAGCCTGAGTCTGCACCTAAGACTGAGCTGGGGCCGCCCCGCCAGGCCTGCTGAGCCTTGGGACTGGGATGCGCTGCGAGCATGCGTGCCCACCCTCGAGCATGCGACCTGTCTTGGCGGAGGGTGCAGAGGCGGCTTGGGCTGCGACCCCGGGCCCCTGCCCCTGCCCCGGCTGTAGGTGATCTTGTCCAGCCCATAGGCTATGTGGCTGAGTGGGCATTCTGAGTGCATCAGGTCCTCAGTGTGCCCCAAAAGTGAGTGGTGAGCGAGATGACTGATAAGGACTAGTCAACAAGATCAGAAGACTGCAGCTTGGACGGAGGAACTATGCCACATCCTACCCTAGGACGATAGGCAATCAGAGCACAGCAGTGGGGCCAGGTGGTGATGCAGAGGTGATGTAATTAAACCCACATGTGAAGGTACTGGTTTCTCATCCTGGGCCTTCCCTGAGCGTGCTGTTAACATGTGCTCCTACCTGTGATCCAGGCTGGCTGAAATGCCTGGATCAGGGCATAGGCACCCTTTTGGAGTTGCCTGTCTCTCTGTGTCTTTTTTCTCTCTGGAATAAATAAATAAACTATTAATAAACTGCACACCTACAAAGGATACAGAAGGAATTTCAGTGCTCTTTTTGAGCCTGTTCTCCTTAAGTATGAAATAGTTAAGATAGCATTAATCATTAGAGTGTGGGATGATTATATAAAACAACACGCAGCAGAGAAGGCTCTTAATTATTTCTTGATAAAGAGTTAATGATATGACTTTCACCCCCTCTGGGAAACTTGTTAAATCTGACATGAGGTCCCAAAATTTGCATTTCAGAAACAGCCATTTCCTATAAAAAATATTCAAATAGGGAAAAGAACAGAGGAGGGAAAAAAACAAAGGTAGCTAAGAAACACAAACACAAACAAGTCCCTGTGCCTGTCTGGTCTCCAGAATGGAAACTCATAGGAATCAACTGAACACCAATAAATGGACTACCTTTGCATGTTGTGGGGCCCTCAGGTGACCAGCAGCCTC